GTTACATATTCTTCTTCATTTTCATTGGCCATGAGACATCTCAAATTGATATCCACGGTCTTACTAATGTTACATTCAGACTTGTCTAAAGAACTTGGTTCTTTCGATGAACTAGTGGATTCATTCAGCTCTAGGTTGGCCATCAAACACATAAGCTCCTCTTGTTTTGATGAGTCAGAAGAACTGGTTTTGGAAGAACTTCCACTTGATTTGCTTTCTTCCAATTGATTATCATCATAAATGAGAGCCTTCTTTCTGGATTTCTTTTCATCTTTCTTCTAGTCATGTTTCTTCCGATCATCTCTCTTGGAGCTCCTCTTCAAGGTAAGGACAATCCTCCTTGAAGTGCCCGAGTTTCCTCCAATTACTACAAACCCTTTCAGAGTTTCCTCCGATTCTTTTTTGTTCTTCCTCGAATGAACTCCTTCCAAGGATGATCTTCCTTAAAAGTTCATAAATAAAGCTCATATGAACATAGAAGATAGCATTGAATGTCCTTATCTACCATAAGGTCACATTAGAACTCTTTTATCCGATCTGACTCCTTTTGGTTACCTCATTTCGAAGCCTTTCTTCCGGATACTTCCTTCCGAGATTGCTTCCTTCTAGTCAACTGGATTGCGAAACCTATCTAAAATTACAATAATTTATGAGAGGTCTAAAGTGCTTACACATATTTTTCTACATCACCGAAATCTATTACAAATATTGAGAATAATCCACAATAAAATATGCATCAAGATAAATATCATCTACCCAAAAATTAGCCTTAGCTTTGAGCAAGCTAAGTTTACTGATGTTGCTCTCTAGTCGCTTCGAAAAACTAGTTATGTTCAATTTCTTTAAAAAAAAAATATTTTTCAAAGTGATAGAAATTAGAAAATGAACAAAAAGAATTCCAGACGGTAGTCCAGGCTTGCTGTTGGCCCATAGTAGTTAATCTCGTTGGGGTTCTGGTTACTGATCATTGCTGGTGCGGTTTGGGAGGTTTGTTGCTATTGGCGGGCCCGTGCCTATATCTTGACCTGCGAGTCGTTTTGCTTTGGCCTATGCGCCGTTGTTCTATCTGTGACCATAGTCAGATTATCTGTATATTTTGTTTAATTGAGATGTTCGGACCTAGCTATTAGCCTACCACTTGGGCCTTTGGCGTGTGAGCCGCGTTGTTTGGCCCGGCCTATGTGCCTCTTTTGTTTGGAGTGTAACAGGGCAACCAATAGCACTGGAGCTTGAGGAGGTGTTGCGGCTGTGTTAGCAGCTCTACTTGGTTGCATTGTGGTGTAGAGACGTGGCATTGCAACGTTGTAGGGAGGCGGCATGGTAGCGTGTCACGATGATAGCAAGGTGGTTGTTCCCCTGGCTAATTGCGGGAGGTGTCGGATCTTAGCTTGTTTTGAGATAGGCCTTCTCTGCTTGTACGAGTTGGACCGCGGGCGTGTCAGGATGGTCGTGTGGTGGTAGTTTTTCACTATGGCATCTACAGATGTGTTGGTCCACACCTCTAGTTTGGTCTTGTGCTAGTTGTGTTGGCATAAGCCGGGCCGTTAGTTTATAGCCTTGGGCCTCTTTGATGTAGATATTTATTTATTTTTCCTTTGTTTTTTAGACTTGGTAGGTTTTCGCCATGCGGGGCCTTAACTCCTTGAGTTTGTATGGGCTCTGCCCTCCTTTGATTAATAAATTAATTTTTTTTTTAAAAAAAACAAGTTTAAATTTAAAAAAAAAAAAAAGAATTCCTGACTTTTTATTTTTAACCAAATAGAACAAGAAAAATACTTTTTTTTTCCAAATATAGACTTGTTGGAAAGTATACATATCGTCTTCATTTTTACGGCAGAATTTGCTCCTTAACGAGTAGCTGACCGGCCTGACCCATTCAAGTTCAAAGTACAATTCACGGTCAACCTTTTCTACTCTTCCATCAAAGTCATCATCTCATCCCATGTACATAACATACTTTCAAGTTTATAAATATGCCTCTTCTCATTTTCTTTCCCATCATCAAATTCTTTCACCAACTTCAATTCATATCACCTACCGTACCTCTGATCTATATGTTATTGTTGTTCCTTAACCAACAGACATTAAGAACTAAACACACATCCGATCCAATGAGACATTATCAACCTAGTCTTGTTTTAGTACTTATTATTCTACTGTGCATCAAACCTTATGAAGCATGTAGATCAGTTCCTGCTGACAACAATGAAGACAAGTGGGCGACAAACAATCATCTTTTTCTACCATCTCTGCAATGGAAACCCGTAACCCCTCCCAAATCCAACCCCGGCACCAACTCGGCTCTTGCTGGAGCAAAGAACTTTGCAGCAGCAGGGTTAACGTTGCCTCCAGAGAGGAGTCATCAACTCATCTTTTGCTTCCTTCTCTGCAATGGCGGCCGGTAACCTCTCCGTCAACTAACCCCGGCCACAACGGGGCTAGCACGGTGAGTGAGCAGAACTTCGCGGCTGGAAAAATGATGACTTTTCGCCCATCATCTCCTTCTTCAAAACACCATAGCCACCGGCTTCCGGAGGGGTCTCACAAGGCTGCGAGTTAATGTTAGCAGAAGAATAATCTCACATTTGACGTTCCAATCCTAACGACTCATTCATTCATTTCTTCATTCATTTTTCTTATTTCCCTTTTTTTTTTTTTTGTTGTTGAAAATCAATTAATTAATCACCTTCTTAAGTCTTAACAACATGTACGCAATCTGTGACTGCATGGGCAACTGTATACGACCAGCATAGTGACGACTGAATAATTTTAATATGGAATTACTTTTTTGGAGTAATGTATCATATTATATATTTTTAACTCTTTCGGTTAAGTAATGTGGTAATGACTCAAAGGCATATTATTAAGACTCTGTATTCTATTTATATTATAATTCATTCTCACTTTCAGTGTATTGTTGTACATTTATCTTTTATCATTAATGATTGGAAAAAACTTAATTGTGTGAACTCAGTCTTAATTCGTGAGACCAGATCTGACTCATTAACCAAAGATTTGACCATTAATCAAATATCTGATCCGTCTTACGGTTTGAGACCCGTGTGACGGTCTCACACAAGTGTTACCTTTAATGACCTGATTAGACCTACTATTTGTACTCTTATAAATACATACATCTCTTTAATGAATTATATAAATTAGATTGATCAATATAAATTTGAATTCTTCCCAGAACTATTGTTTTCATTTGCTATCCGTAGACCAAACAATCCATACATGCAATCCCTATCATCACTGCCACCGCCAAACCCTAACGTTGTGCGACCGTCGGTCGGCAACACCACCGCCACCACCAATTCAATATTGTCTCTTTAACCCTAGCCCCAATAAATACCCTACAAATTAAAGAACCACCACTTTATCTCCATTAAACTTACTTTCTCAAACTATCTCTTCATGTATTCTATAAATTGGATTGAGCAATATAAATTAAAATTCTTCCCAAAACTATTATTTTCATTTGCTATATGTAGACCATGTTGAGCATATAATAACCATTAATGTGTAATCCAACTATCAGCTTATGCTTTTAGTTGAGATGGAGCACATGCTTCAATTGACCAAACAATCCATAGCTGCAAACTCTACCATCAGCACCACCGCCACCAACCTTGACGTTGCGCGACCGTCGGCCGCCACCACCACCTTCGATATTGTCTCTTCAACCCCAGCCCCAATAAATACTCTACAAATAATCATCACTATATCTCCATTAAACTTACTTTCTCAAACTACCTATGCAGGAGGGAACAAAGATGTAGAGCTAAATTGTGAAGCAGCTTTGTGAAAGGGCTACTCACTTGTATTTTTATAACAAAATACATAATGACAATTTTATAAAAGTTTATTCAATCTCTTCAGACTTTTAACTAGCTAAGAACCACAATTTAGTTTTACATGCATAAAAGTTTACATTTTTTGGAAATAATAAGACAGATGCCCTAAATAGGATTAAAGGTAATTGGAGTTAAAATATATTCAGTATAATGTTAAGGTAATATTATATTCTCATAATCTTAATATAATATTCACAAAAATAGTCATGTTCAATTTATTTATAAAAAAAAAAAAAAACATTTTTCAAAGTGATAGAATATAAACAAAAATAGAATTATTCCTCCGGTTTTATTTTTAACCAAATAAGAAAAGAAAATTACTTTTCTAAATATAGACTTGTTGGGAAATATACGTATTTGACTTCATTTTACAGTATAGTTTGTTCCTAGCTTAACGAGTAGGCCTGACCCATTCAAGTTCAAAGTTCAATTCACAGTCAACCTTTTCTATTCTTCCATCAAAAACAATACCCCAACGAAAATATCAAAGTCATCATCTCATTCCCCGTACATACCATGCATGCATATATTCAAGCTTATAAATATTACAATATTATTTATTGTAAGTAACAATTTATTTATTTTAAATTGATATTAAATTTTTTGTAATAAGTATTATGATTCTTATAATAAGAAACAACATGTTGTCTACAACCCAACACGTTACTGAACAAGGATTCATAAAAAAAATATCTAGAGTTTGAACAATTTAGAATTATTTCACTCAAAACGATGTCGATTTGAGTGAAATAACTCATTTAAAAAAGAAGGGAACAATAGCTAATCAACCGATTAGGCAACTAGCTAGTCTGTGCTTAGGAGGCCTAAGCAATTAACCTAGACAGCACTTAGGCGGCCTAGTCGGCCGCTTAGCTAGCCAATTGCCTAGACCACAAATTATTGTGATACGCTAGGCGGCCGACCAGCACCTAGCACTTACACAGTGATTAATTGGTGTTTAGACGAGATTTTTGCAACACTGTCTCAGCAACAACGAAAAATGTAACAAGAGATGTCGTACGCATTGCTTTAATCCAACAAATTTACGATCATTATTAAAGAGTTGCTTTGAGGAATTACCGGAACACAAACAAAGAGTATGGAAGCTATAGCTAGATAATATAATGCCTTGCAGAAATACAAAGTACTCAAAACCTAATAGTTAAGGAGAGAAACCGTATATACTTTCATCCCAATCTACCAACTACAATCTATAGTAGGGGCAACATTATAGAAGCTATATACTTTTCTACTAGAAAAAAATGTATGGGGAATAACAACGATAGTCCCATTAAAATCTATAAATAAAAAAAAAAATCTATAAATAATCTATATAAATATCATCCTCCTATTCCAAATCTTCATTGTTCTCTTGCTCCTGCTGTTAAAACAAAATAAACAAACAAAACATATTAAGAAAAATAGTATTGAGGCCCAGTTTGGTAACATAATTAGCTTATCAATTAATTTTGACTTATTTGACCATTATTAATATGAGTGTTTGTAACAACTTGTTGCTCCAAAATGATAAAATTCAAAGCAGCTTTTTCAATCAGCTTCTTGAAAAAGTAATTTTGTATGTAATTAACTATCAAACTAACAGATAATTTACCAAACACTTTTTTACAATCACCTAATGCTATCAACTAGTCAAACTCACTAACTCAATCAACTAACAATTATTTACTAATTCAAATACCCCTAAGTATATCTTTATATATTGCAATTCTCTTCCAGTCTCAAAACTATCCTAGACTCTCGCTGTCTCAACGAATTTATAATTCTCTATTATTTTTTATGCATCTCTATAGTTCGAATGCAATCTCAAAATATAATATAATCATAATAATAATAATAATAATTAAAGATATTATTAAAAAAGAGAAGAAAGTATAGTAAATTATTTACCGATATCCCTAGATAAGCTGTCATCTTTTTTCCATATTCCTCCTTCCTTTCCTCTGCTTTATCTATGTAGGGGGCTTTCTCCTGAATTTTGAAATTGCAATTTAATTGCAAATTCATTTTAGAAAAACCATTCAAAAATTTCACCAAATAGAATAGAATTCAAATTTTAAATAGTTAAGAATTTACCTCTTCAGTCATAGACCTCCATTTATCTCCAGCAGCTTTCCCAACCTATTTTCTCAAACAAATTTAAAATCAAACACAATAAATTTAAAAAAAAAAAAAAATCAATTCACCAATGCTCTCTAATCTAAACTACAATTAAAAACAAAAAAAAAAAAACAAAAAAAAAAAACACTTACAACACCAACTCTTTTGTTGTCTGGGTGTTGTTTTCTGTACTCTTCTCTAAACACTTCCCTATAACCCAAAATATTTAAAAGGATTAGAATTTTTCAAGACCATATAATATAAAAGAAAAAGGCCTAAAAAAAAACTTGGACATACATGAAGAGGAGAAAAGCGCTGGGAGGCCTTTTAGGCTTGTTGGGATCCTTAACTCTCTTCACTTTTTGCTTCCTTATAGCAAGCCTAAAGCAAAATCAAAGTAAGATATTCTTTCCCGTATGTTCATTGAAAGCAAAGCACAAAATCATATACTTCGTTGAAAATAATAATAATAATAATAATAATAATAATAATAATAATAATAATAATAACTTACTTCTCAGTTTTCCCAGAGCCAGCTTTTGATTTCTCTCCTTTCATAGTCATCACTAAAAATCTAACAAAAAAAAAAAAAAATGAAAACAAATCAAAATGTGTGAAAAACTAGAGAATTTTGTTAAGACATTATATGCATGCATTTAGTGTCTATAGTTAACCCATCATGTGCCCTCAATTTATTTTCTATAAACTCCACACATAATTTTTACATTAGGACCATCATATAACAGTTGTCTATCATAATTTTAATACCTCAGGATAGCCCAATATACTTTAATGATTAAATATTTAATCTAATAATTATGGTTCAAAATCAGTTTTAAACAGTCCAAAACAGATTAAAAATCAAATAAATAATCTGCCCAAATTAGCTCAAAATACACCTACAAAAATATGAGGCACAAAGCCTTATTAAAACATTTAATCGGCCCAAAAGAGGTCAAACTTGACTAAAATAGCCAATAAAGTAGAAACCAAACAGACCTTAGAGAGGTTTTAGTAATTTCCTATTAATTCTGATTCTGATTTTTTAATTTGGCTTAATACTATTCCTGGTTGTATTGAACATTTGTTTTAATGGTGAAAGTTCTTTAGTTTTTTTAAAAAAAAAATTCTTAACAAAATATTTCCAGAGAATGTATTTTATGAATTAGTATGTTTGGACTTACTTGAGAAACATAAGAATTAAATTATTTAAAAAATTAATTAAGATGTTTGATCCGATTAAGTTTTCCTATAAAAATTTTTAACATCTCTAATATATCTTTGTTATATATAAAGATTAAAAAGAAAAAATAAAAACATAACGTATAATTAAAAGTTTAATAAATTACTTGTAAATCAATAAATTATATGCCAATTTATAAGAGACTTTTAACCTAACCCAAAAAAAATATCTAATTGAATAAATTATGTAGAATCCCAAGAAAAAGAATTCTATCTTCTTAGAAATTTACTTTCATTAATATAATTGAATTAGATTCCCATTCACCCGAACCTTTCTTAAAAAAAAAAAAAAAAAAAAATCATATCAAACATGAAAATAATTTTTCCAAGAAAATTCAAACTTTCTTGCTACTATACACCATCCCAAAACTTTGCTTCCTTACTGGGCCAAAGGCCCCAAATTGGGCCTAGGGCTCCAGCCCACTTTGACTGGAGCCCTTTCGGGAACAGCAGCGGAGCCCCATACGCCGCCGGCGAGCTGACGCAGCCAACAGTAACCAGCGGCAAAACTCGGCGACACCGCCGGCCGGATTGCGCCGGCTCGGCGCTGCTGCAAGGCAACGCCTCCCTCAACCCAGGCCACGCAAAATATAATTAGGGTTTAACTATTAACGTAAACCGATTGGGTGGCCATTAACGTAAACTGGGAGCATACCTGAAAATCCGAACTAAAATCGAGCAGTCTCTCTCTTTGTCCCTTTGGTCTAATTAATGTAACTGGTTAATTAATAATTATTCAAGTCATAATAAATAGTTCCTTTAATTTCCTAATTTTAGTAGGACTAGCGATCGGCATTCCCTGTGTGATGTACAATATGAAATTTAAATTTAAATAACTTTTATGTTAGTAATGTTTAAAAAATACATTAAAATTAAAATAATATAATAAAGCAATTATCAATGAAATTCACAGTGATATATATATATATATATATATATATATATATATATATATATATATATATATATATACACTGAAAATACCACATGAGATTTAGAAAATATAAATTTAAATAATTCAAATATAGTTATTTCAAAAAAAAAATTCAAATGTAGGTACAATATGAACATAATTATGGAAATTACACATACAAAAAATATTAATATTGTATCACAAATAAATTACAAATTATTAAACACTTCATATGATAAATAACATTTGTAGTTGACTACAACATTCATCGGAATCCCCACACATCAATTTTTTTTTTTTTTTAAGTCATTGTAGACTAGTAACTTTAGACACAACTACATATAACTAATCATGATTAAACATTGATTTCTTCCAGAGAAATACAACAGGTTAAAGTGTTATCTACAATTGTTGCAAAAGGGTCACTAACAAACTGTAATAAATTTTCAAATGGTACAATCACTTCTGAATATTCGATCCGTCATTAGGCCACCAACTATACCATCATCAATCGCAGCAATCCACTTGGAAAAAATTTCAAGTTTTGCAAAATCAACACTAGTCTGCAATTTTTGTAAATGCGATTTTTTTTTTTTTTGTCAACTTTAGAACCGTACAAATCTACCAGAGATAATAAGAACTGGTAAGATTTGTCTAAAGTCACCAACCAAAACAACTGTTTTCCCCTAAATGTCATTTCAGAACTAAAAGGATCGATGCATCTTATTAGATTTCTCATGGTTCAATCCCAATGCTTCAAAGCAATACTTATGCATCACTGGAGCTTCATCCAAAATGACCAACTTGCATTTCACAATCAATTTGGCAAGTTGACTCCCTTTTTTATGTTCCACGTTGAGTCTTCATTTCGGATGCTTAGTATGACACTTTATTTGAGCTATATTTTATGCCCTTTCTCGCCTATTTTGTTACCTATTTTGGTGTGTTTAATTGGAATTCTGAGCTAAATGATGTGTTTTGCATATAGTTTCACCCAATTGCACAATTAAGGGAAAAAGAGGCATGTTAGAGCGAAAATGAGCAAATGTTGAGCGAAGAATGCATAAAAGGAAGCAGAAGGATATCTTGAAGTAACTCGAGAAGAAGATGTTCAAAATAGGAGCAAAGGTAAGTCTGTGGCGCAGACCAAACAACGCTCACATGCGTCAGCAAGCCCACGCAGGCAATCTGCCTCGCGCACGGTACACGCCCTTGGGGTGTCCATTTCTACAGACGGTTGCAAGAATGCCCATGTCATCACCCATGCGCCGAACCCTGACGCACAGTATAAATTGATAATTTTAGATCTCAAAAAAAGGGAGGAGAAGCAGGAAGTAGTGAGGCGTAGGTTTTATGTTTTCTTGTGAGATTTTCATCTTTTAGACTTGGTATTTTACTCTTAAAGCTTAGATTCTTGTATTTACAAGCTTGAATCCTATAAGGATCAAGTATCCACTATATTTTGAAGATATGTGTCTTGTTTACTCTTATTTGCTTTGATAGTTTTGTACTTTTAGTTTATATAGTATATGAGTAGTCTTATTTGGGTTTGGAATGAGGTTTATATGAGATTCTTAATGTCTATTTGATATCTATTACAAAGAGGGGTAAAACCTAATTTAGGGTTCCTTGTGTTGTGAGATGATTTTTTGTGTTGAGATGTGGGGCCCAACATTGCCAACACATTCTTAATTTGGAATTTGACAACCAATTGACACGGGGTTAGCATATCTTCTTGATTTGACTCACAACTAACAATATTCCTCTAGACTCATCTCACTACCGTTAGATTCCACTACGAAAGTAGGTAATTCTAAGGTTCTAGACTGTTTGAGCCTTGTTTGAAAGGGTCGGTAGCGTCACGAAAGTGAGACAATCATCATTTTTCAATTCGTCTTAACATTGGATCATGAAAGTGGCGTGTAAGCCTACCGAATTGGTGTTGGCAGTCTTGAATCTTGAAATTGAGTTTAACTCTCCTTAATCCTTAGAATTGGCATTGAATCGAATGTTTCCTCATTCCAAACCCTCTTTTGATTATTGGTTATTTACTCAAATTGTTTACTTTCATTCCCCTAATCCCTAGTTGTTACTTAGCTTTCACTAATTTCCTCTCACCTTGTGTCTAATAGTTTTCAAGAATTATGCCTAAAAAATTTGTTTCTCCCAAGGATGATGAATTAGTATGACAAATGTAGAGTGGGCAATCCTTCCCTCAAGAAAAAGAAGATAAGTTGTTCCGCTGGATACCACATTAAGAGCAATTAATTACGCCTCTCAACCGTATAATAGAAGATAATGTTCTCAAAACAAAAGGTTTTGTCTATTCCACTATATCCAATCACAAAGATCAATCCACCTCCATTTCTATTAACATCGCCTATCACATTATCGTAAACATATTTCTGCTCATCAGTCAATTGCTTAATTAATTTATTAAACTCTTTAGCCATAGATGCTTGATCATACCACATTTCTTCATACAGAAACCCATTTTCTAGCTACCTGACGCAAATTATAAATAGTTTGTACTATCATTGATGGATAGCATTCAAAGTTGTGGCTCCATACACTCAACAACTTATTGATCTCAATCAAAGTATAATTTTTCATCTACTGATATGTTTGGACTAAATTAGAAAATATATACAATGATATAGTATAAGTATCAATTTAAAAACAAAGAAACCAAAAGTAACGATTGGAACACATATATTGGGTCGCACTATATTGGCCACCATAGCCGAGAGGATGATTTTGGACTCATTATGATTGTCCTTCACCACATTAGATTTAGAATTATTATTCTTCTTCTTATGTGTTTTGCAATTAGTTGACTTGTAGCTCTTATTGCCACAATAGAATCATTTTTCGTGGAATTGTTTCACGTTATTCTTGAAGTCCTTCTAGCCCGGAGGCAACAAGTGGATAACAGATTTCACTTGAAAGGCTTCACTCACGACCATTCCTTCATCAATCATCTCGTTGAAGATCATATGCATGTCTTTAATTTGATTCAAGACATCCCTCACCATCTTGTAATCAAGGAATCAGCTAACAACAAATTTCTTTGCCCTATCGTCTTCACTCTTATACTTCAAGTCTAAAGATTCCTACAACTCTTTAATTGTTATCATCAATTGACAGTATGCATTGACTGATGGACATACATGGAGATCTCTTTTGTTGTTTTCAATTTATAATATACACTGACTAATGGACATGCACAGAGATCTCTTCCTTGCTTCACACAAACTCATATATGATAAATTCCTCAACAACAACATAATACGATGGATATGATTTTTTTTGTCCATAATTTTAGCGGATATTATGCAATCAATTTCCTGTATAATTACACATTTTTCACTTTTATCAAGAAACGACATTATCCACATTTTTAAAATTCCACTGTATAAATTATTAGAAAATAAATTCAAAGTTCTATTAAGAATTTAAGAAGTAGCAACACACACGCATATATATATATATATATATATATATATATATATATATATATATATATATATATATATATATATATATATATATATATATATATATACACATGAGTGTGTGTATTGCTATTAATAAACTAACCATGCATGGATCGTATGGTCTACTGATATTAGAGCATCCCCATCAGAGTATAATATGGGGAGATTAGTACACAAATATGCAGCTCAACAGATGGGAGAATGAAAAAAAAAAAAAAAAAAAAAGAATTCTCCTGCAAAGAGTGGGAGAATGGAAGAAAAAAAAAAATAGGAAGGACGGGCGGACGCGCTGATTACCTTTAATTTTTTTTTTTAATTTTTAATTTTATTTTGTTTTTTGTTTTTTGTTTTTTGTTTTTTTCTCTCCCCATCCACATTCTCTTTCCTAATCACTCTTACATTCTCCCCCCAATTCTCCCCAACAGATAATGTTGCTCTTAGATGAGAACAATAATATTTACACAACGTTTTATTATAGATCAATCGCATTTATAAAATACATGACGAAAGTAGATATAGAAGTACAAGAATTAGTCCTAGTTAAGAGATGACTAAGGAAAGGAGGAGTTACAATAATATAGAGAAAATGAATTGAAATTCTAACGCTAATGAAATACAGAATCCTTATATGGACAACTTTGAACATAAAAATAAATCGGAATGGCTTCACAAAAGTGGACTAAAATCAAACGGAAACTAAAAACTAAACAATTGTATATTGAAACTGTAGAACAAATTTCTAAACTTGATTTACAATGAAAAATATAATTTAAAATGTATGAGATTTTCGTGAAAGTTATATTACCTACAAAAACCTTATTTAAATTAAATACTCATTAAATAAAAGAGACACATGCAATAAAAGTGAATGAGTACAATAATTTTTACCTAAAATTCAATAATTTTATGATAGAAATATATAATTTGCAAAAAATAAATATAAAAGAGTTAATTCCAGCAATGGTCCTCTGACTATATTGATTTTTCAAAATTAGTCATCGACTTTTAATTTAGACACTTTATATCCTTTTGACTTTCAATGAACAAAATTCCATTAAGGATTAAGCAATTAAGTGAATCTAATGTATGAAGTTGCATATGCAAGGAAGAAATACGAAGAATTATATATTAGACACATGAAATGACTACTTTACCCTTTCATTTAAAGTTCATTTTACAGTCATCAGACGAAATTAAAGGACCTCAAATGAAAAGAAATTGAAAGTCAAGAGACGTAAAGTGTTCAAATTAAAAGTCGAAGACTAATTTTGAAAAATCAGTATAGTCAGAGGGCCATTGTTGAAATTAACTCAATATAAAAGTAAAGAACGAATAAACACAGTAAGTCGTAACAGTTGTCCTGAGTGTTTATTGTACAAGTCACTAGGATGTAACAACATTAACTTCCTATTAACATAGACCTCCATAGTATACAAATACCAATTTCCATCAAAGGCTTCGTTTCTTCCCATATTGGTAATTGACCTTTTTCTCCTTCCACTTGCCATTCTCAAGAGACACCTCGTAGAAATCCACTTCCCCAGTTCCATCCACGCTTACCACACTTGTACTTCTAGTACCATAAAGCCCCTATACACATCAAAATGGTAATTTTATGGTATTCCATTCTATGAAGTACTGTATGCAAAATATTCAATATCAACAGATATAAATTATTCATATATATGGACAAATACTAAATTATAATAGAGTCAGTAGTATTCAAAAAATTATTCATATATTTACCATCTCCTTTTTCATGTGTATATTGACTGTGTAAGAGTCACATAAAAAAACATTTTATTTTTTCATGACAGAGAAATTAGCAGCCATTATCCGATAATGCATGTACACTGGATAAACTCCGCATTGTGACTTTAGTTGGTAAAGGACCACAAGAAAGTAAACCAACATAAATTGTTCATAGCTTACATGTTTAAACCAAGAAATCTAATAGGTTGCTCCCACTGGGAGTACTATTTTAATTCGTATATTGGGGAAGATTAATTATATTGATTTAGTTTCTCATACTATATATTTGCAATATACGCAAATGAAACCAACAAAATGAAGAAATATAGTTAATTAATTTACCAGGGGAGTGTCAACTTGGACAAAAATAGAACTGAGGCTGAATTCCCAGTCGAGAGAACATATATGAGGCAATAAGGTGTGGTCAGCTTTAGTTGTGTCTCGCATCACTTTCTCTACCATTTCTTTCAAAGGTAAATCTTCTTCTTTTTCGCCAACCATCATCTTCTTGAAATTCATTTTCAGACGTTGACACTTGGAAAAAAAAATTGCAAACACGAAATTTCAGAAAAAAAAAATAAATTAATAAAAAATGTTAATTATTGCAGGATTAAAATTAATTTTTTGACTAATTTAAACAACCCGTTAAACAATTGTCAGCTGTATATCAATTTTTGGTCCAATTTGTACAAATCAATTATTGACCCACCACTTATACCGTATGAAAAAATTTAGGGACGTCAATCTTAGCAAGAAACTGATGAACTGATTCGATAAATCCAAAATCGATAAGTCCAATGATTCGAACGGACAACTTGAAATTTAGTGGGCTAGCTCGATAGGCCAAGCCACTTATACTGTATGAAAAAATGTAGAGGTGTCAATTTTAGTCAGAAACTGAGAAATTGACCCGATAAATCCAAAACCGATAAGTCTAATTACCCGAACGGACAACTTGAAATTTGGTGGGCTAGCTCGATAGCCCAAGCCACTTAAGGCTATATTCTTTGTTTCGCAAGAAATGTGGAACAATATATATATATTATTTAAGCTCATCTTTAGTAATTTTTATTAAATTTGTAAATAAAATTTTAATAAATTTATTATTTTGTATGAAAATAAATAATGAAAAAAACTTATTTTAATTATTACATTATAGTATAGATATATTAATTATTTTTAATTGGAATTTAGAAATGGAGATTTATATTATTGATTGGATAATGTATAACTTTATATTTATTAGTGTAAATGCACTAGTTTATCATAATTAAAAATTGATCCTGCCCGATAAGTCCGAAATCCGATAGGACTAGGCTGAAATTGAACAGTTTAACCCGATTGGCATTCATTAAGGAAAAAAAAAAAAAAAAAAAAAAAAGTTGTGAGTTGAGAGTTGAGACCTTAGGCCAAGGAGAGTCGAGGTTTGCATTTGAGAGGACATGAATACCTGGAGTGACCTCATGAATGGAAATGGGTTCCCCTTTAGGCCTGTTGGAGATGTAAACCATGCTTTTGCTTTCAAAATCTGCCATTATCAAGTTGAACCCATTGTATTCATGCCCTTCCTTCACCAATTCCTTTGCAAATTCCTTAGGACTTTTACTACTCTACAATCACCGCAAGTTACGTCATATATTATTTGTTAGATTCTTTAATATTTGATAATAAATAAATGTGATCAGACAATTCATAAGCACCAATAAATATAAAATTATTTGTCAGGCTGTTAATTTGGTAACCAAGATTATAAGTTCGGCTCTCAATAAGAACTGTCCGTCAACTATGAGCAACTTAAGCTAAGCTTGCTTAACTCCTTATGATCCTTTGCAAGATTAAATCACAAGACGGAATTTACCCGACCTATATGTTTTCTATGAGGTGCCAATCGATATAGATATCAAATTACACCTGGTACAACCATGTATGTATTCCGGGTTGTACCAATTCTTGCTGTCAGCTCATAAATTTAATTTGCAAATATTATATTAAAAGGGTAAAATAACCGACGTTAAAAAGATTTTTTCTTGTAGTAATGTACAACAAATGAGCATGGATATAGTAGTACCTGGAGAAAACGAACAGGGAGGTCTCCTCTGGTTCTGGCTTCAGGGAGGGTGTGAAGTTCCAAAACATTAGTCAAGAAAGCCACCCTCCCTTCCCTTGAACAAGCTAACCATGTCCCCCCACCAACCTCGTCTCGCCCTCCTAATATTTCACCTCCTTCCCACCACTCCAACGCTTTTGTCGCCCTGTAATTAGGAATAGTTCATGGTGCGGAATGACACTTTATCCTATAATATCTCTACATATATATATATGCACCATTATATTCATCTTTCTAAACACCTATCTAGCTATTACTAAAAAAACTTCAAAAACCCAGTAATATATATAAAACAGAAATTAAAGTACATCGATATTTGGACTTGCCTGCTGTGATATTCATCTCTGTTGAGCAAGAGAAGAAAAGGGTACCTGGGGTGTGCTTGCCAAACAAATATTGCAATGCACATTATTATATGTGAATTGCAGAGACTAAACCAAAGTTGTAGAGAGAATATATAATATTGTATTCAACACTGATGATATGGTGATACCAAAAAGAGGAAGAATGAGGGATATTTATACATGCAGTACTATACTATAATTTGGAGACACTATTATTATAAAAAATAATACCATCGAAAAAGGAAGGCTACGAATACATAATAAAGCTTATCAAACTATTCAGAATCATTAATTTGTGTGGGGATGAGTTGGCTAAATTCTTTGAAACGCCTATATATCATGTTTCGATATACTCACAAATTTTTGAAACAAAATCTGATCTTAAATTTGTTTTGAGTAACGATATAAGTATTTTTTTTTTTCTTTTGACACGGGATGACGTGACAATATAAATATATTTCTTTTTTGACATGGGATAAGGGTGTTCAATTTATGGCAACCGATCAATTAAAAGGGTTTCATTTTTCATGTAAGATGGTTTAAAATTTTGGTTCCTATATAGCTTTATCTTACCCAAAATTAGGTGTTTAAAGGCCAAGACTTGATTTGCAATACCAAATAAAATACAAATATGAAAAATATTTATTTTTCTTATTTGTAATAATGGGTGCTTTACATAGAAAATATTTATTTGTCAACATTTAATTACCAATAAATAAATTACCTTTGAAAACTTCTAGATCAAATCAAATATTGAACAATAAAACATAATATTTGAATTCAACCATAAATATTAGTCTAGACATAAATTTTGATATTACTAACAAAATTATCGAAACTTTTAAGTTAAATCCATGTGGCCATACTATTATGAATAATATAATTTAGTCGATTATATATATATATATATATATATATATATATATATATATATATATATATATAGGGTCAGGTTCCTGTGAGGTCAGGTCTTCACGTGCGGTCAGTGCGGCATACACCATTAGGTATGCATAAATGCACCACACAATGTTTGTAAATACACCATTATGTGTGGTGTATTTTTTGGCATTTCATTCTAGTGTATTTTTAAACATTGTATGGTGTATTTATGCATACCTAATGGTGTATGTCGCATTGACTGCACGGGAAGACCTGACCTCACAAGAACCAAAATATATATATATATATATATATATATATATATATATATATATATATATATATATATATATATATATATATATATATATAAGTCCTTAGAATGGATCAAATGAGAATAAGTCCTTAGAAGGAAAATAAAAACCAATCTCAGCCTTACATATGAAAAAATAATCGAACGGATCAGATCAAATTTTTTAAAAATTGCGATAATATTTTTGTAATTATCACCAACTCTACTATGCAAACTTGAACACTAAAATATGTAATTCTTAGACTTTTCCAGGTTTGCACATTTAGTATTAAAAGATTGCACTTAGAGTTTATGACTTAGTTTTTTGTTTTATTTGATTTAGTCGTTCACATTTTACTACTTAAGATCTAGCATTTACAGTCTAGATTTAAATTTTAACATTTTCGTTTATTTTATAAAATTTACCAATTTTGCATATTTATTTATTATATATTGTATATTTAAGTGTTTAAGTTTGTATAGTGAAGTTGATGATAATTAAAAAAATATTATTGATAAAGTTATAGAGATAATAAAAGTTTTTATTAAAATCTTTTCTCATCTGACGTGATAATTAAAGTCTTTTTATTTTTAAATACTATGAATCATATATTATTACATCAGATCATGAAAATTTCCAGTTAAATTTTTTTATTCAAGTAACTTGGTCCCAACATTATTGTCTACATAATGTATAATTTGTTTAGGTTTTTCCAGTTTTCAGGCTACGTTGTAACAAGTCAATAATGCCACGCTATATATAGATGTTATCCTACTCAATTCATGCCTATCATATCCAACAACGTAATTAATTACAAACGTCATTTTCTGCTTAAACTGGTTAAGTCCACAGTCTACTATATACCACCGGCTAGCTTGCCAAAATCTCTTTAAGTATAGCGTATAGGTTCTATTATTTACAATAAATTACATTACTTTAATTTATTTATTTTTTTTTAATTTGGACGTGAAAGGCAGCCTCAAGACAGAGAAAATATAATGATTAACGAGAGGCAAAGACCTTGTGGTCAAGCGACATGAAGTGATTTTTTCAACGGGGAGATTATGGGTTTGAGTCTCAGTTAAAGTTGTTTTAATTCGTTGGGTTTCAGTAGGTTGAAAAAGTATACGAATTTTAGGAAGAAAAAAAATATTATCATGAGACAAAATTACCTCTCCCATAGTTTTTAACTTAAAATTGATGCCCACAACAATAATAGGCATTTTGGACTTTATACTACTTATTCCCTTTCAATTCACATGTATACCAAACATTGGAATTGAAATTCCCAGTAATTATATTCCTGTATACCAAACACTGGAATTTAGGGGGGTGTATTCAATCATAACTTTCATAGAGTTTTAAAGACTTTTATGAACTTTAACAGGGCGTTTGGTTGGAGGGGGGAATTGTGTGGGAAAGGAATTGTAATTCCATGGGAGTTGAATTACTGTGAATAAAGTGAGAATTTAAATTCCAGTGTTTGGTTGACAGTAATAGAATTACTGGGAATTTCAATTCCAATGTTTGGTATACATGGGAATTGAAAGGGAATAAGTAGTATAAAGTAAAAAATGTCCACTATTGTTGTTAGACATTAAAATTTTAGGTTAAAAAAGGAATGGGTAATTTTGACTCATCACTATTTTTTTTCCCAGGAATTAAAATCACAGGGGGGGGACATGGGATTTTAATTCCATGAAAATGGGGGAATTGCAATTCCATGGAATTGCAATTCACTCCAACCAAACTACGGAGTTTAATGGCCTTTGGAATTAGATGGGAATTAAGTGGGAAGGGAATTTAAAATCTAAACAAACGCCCTGTAAAAGTTTGGGGTATTCAATTCAAACTTTTAGAGAGTCTCTAAAAGTCAGGCCGTATTCAATCAAGATTTTAAAGAGTCTTTAAAAGTCATGTGGTATTCGATTAAGACTTTTATAGAGTCTTTAAAAGTAATGTGGTATTCAAAAAGTTATGAACTTTTGTAGACTTTTTAATTTTAAGACTTTCGTAGACTTTTCCTTCTCAAATATAAATAGTTGAAATCCAACCATCAACCCCAAGATTTCAAAATTTTCTTTCTAACAACTTTGAATGTTTTCTCTCGCTATTTAAACTCTATTTTTTCTCCCTATTTAAACTTTATAAACCTATCTAAATTTAATAAAATTATTTTTTTCTTCATTATCCTATATTTTCCTCATACCTAAACTCTACCAATTTTTCTCTCTCTCCTAAACTTTACAATCTTCCTCTAAAAATTCTAAATAATATTATTTTTACTTCATTATTGCTTGTTTATATTGATTTTTATTTTTTCTATGAATTTTTTATTGCTAACTTTCTCTAATTCTCCCTAAATACATGAACAAAACAAATTTTTCATCATCTAATTTTAGTATATGTTTCATAATATTCATATAAATACTTATATATTTTGATTTTTATTCTTTTTATGTTTATATTCGTAATATATATATTTCCTTTTTTTTAACAAGTTACTACGAATAGCGAACTACTGTTAGCAACAACATTTTGGGGTTGCAAACAGTAGCACCTTTTTGTTGTTCGCAGTCTCTTATTGCAAATAATAGTTCTTTGCGTGATTCCTAGCAATATATCAAGTATATATATATATATATATATATATATATATATATATATATATATATATATATATATATATATATATATATATATTAGATTTTTTTTTATTTTATGCAACTTGTAATTATATTTTTAAATATTTTATTTGATCAATTCTTTTATTATAAATTTTATTATTCAATATTGTTATGAATTTCTAATGAAATAATTTTTTTTATGCTTATTAATAATATATATATATATATATATATAAGTAATTAGCATATAAGTCTCAATATACTATGGATAAAAATAATAATGTTGAGAATGTTGATGTCGGTGAAGAACTATATAATAAGAAAATTATATAAATGATAAGAATCAAAATCATTGAAAGTTTGCAAGGATGTATTCAATTTGGAATTTCAATGACTTTTGTAGACTTTTTAAAATAAAAAGTTGATAAAAGTCTATGAATGTTTTTTATATAGACTTTTATAGAGTCTTATAAAGTTTTAAAAAGTTTTGAACGACTCTATGAAAGTCAATAAAAGTTTATTAAAATCTATAATTTTAAAAGTCTTAAAACTCTACAAAAGTCATGATTGAATACACCCCCCTTAAATTCTCACTTTATTTCCAGTAATTCATCTCCTATAAAATTGTAATTCCTTTCTCATGTAATTCCCTGCCTCCAACAAAATGCCTAAATGTAACACGGTCAATAGTATTCCAAAAACCAAAAGAAAAAAAAAAAAAAAAAAAAAAAAAACAAGAGGCAATGCCAATCTCTTTCTCACGTCTAAAGTAATCCAACATCAATATTATATATATATATATATATAGTGAAAGGTTCCCGTGCGGTTGAATGCTTCCCGTGCGGATGTGCGGTGGATTAATGTTCGTGAGATTTGTACTCAATGTGCGTGAGTGTTGTGCTTAATGTGCCTGAGATTTGTACTTAATGTGCGTGAATGTGTAAAATGCAGCAGAAATTATTGATTTAGCTTCTTCCCCATCCCCAGTAGTCATTGCCCCCTCCCTGATGATGATGATGATGATGCGGAGGCGGACTATGGTGGTTAAGAATTATGGGAATAATACAACAGAAATCCACACTTAGCTGCATGCTGTGCAAATTTTACTGTGCGTGCGTCATCTATATAAATATTCAACTGCACTGGAGGTAGCTGATAATCCAGAATCCATGGCCAAATTGAAGGAAGAAGTAACAAGAAGCTTGTGCATTAATGTGCGTGCGTTTCTGTTCTGCTTCCTTCTGAGCTCGTAATTCTGAAATACTCACGCACATTAAGCACAAATCTCATGCACATTAAACACAATACTCAGGCACATTAAGTACAAAACTCACGCATATTAACATGACGCAC